GAAATACAGCAAAACAGACCAGAAGAAAATAATTCCCACTGAAACTAAAGCAGCAGCCACCAAGTCAGAGGGAAAGGCAAATGTGTAATGTCTCTGTTGAGATTCCCTAAAACTGCCTAGAATACTGTGGAAGTGCATGTTCTGAAAACAGTCCAGATCTTTCAGCAGGATCTCAGAGGAGGTTTTCGATCAACTCCCATCCCTCCATATCTAAGAACCATCAACCTGAGAAGTAAAACCAATACACTTGGTAGTGGATGAATTAGGGAGCATGGTATAAATGCAGCAAAGTTCTTTCATGACTCCTACATATCTAACTTCATTTTATGAATGGATGGAGTCTCTAATAAAAACAAAATGATCCCCTCCAAAGCACAGAGGAAAAGGGGAGAAAGTGCCAACATCCTTAAGGGATGCAGGGGAGACACTAAAGGTCCACAGGTGACAAAAAATGAAGGGTGGGAAATGCTGTCCTGAGGGACAGCAGAGGCTACAAGGAGACAGAGCTTTCCTTGTAAGCGTGCAACAGATTCTGCGAACGAGTGAGCAGAGCAGACAGATACCAACTCCCTGTCCTTCCATCCGAGAAAGGAGGAACAAAACGATGCACAGAGTATTACAGGGGAAGTGGATGCCTCAGGACAAGTGTTATTCCTGGTGAGAAGGTGCCACTACGAGAAGCACCAAGGGTTCGCACAAGGCAAGCCAGTGTTAGGAGATGAACACTTGAGAGAAGACGAAGATGAGAGGCTGGACAGAGCTGCACTTTTGACTATAACTAAGTCAGACAGATGGAACTGGCTGATCTCAATGTTCAGCCCGTCTGCAAAGTACCCAGCGAGGCGGCACTGTTTACTCCCTAGAATGTAAAAGGGTTGAATTTCCTTATATCATTCCCCTTAATTAAAATTTATTTCTTATTCTGTGATGAGTTCCTGTTTTAATTTAAAGGCAAAAAATATCAACTGGATCTAAACTAAAAAAAAAAATCAGACCACACTCATATTTTAAATCTAACAATGACCTTAATATTTATATTAACATTATATCCCACTATTAAGCAACTATGAAGGTAATGGGAAAGAAATGGCACCATGAGAGAAATAAAATCAAGAACAACAACAAAAAAAGAACCATTTCAAAGCAACTTGAGTATGAAGCAATAAATTTCGTCTAAGTTTAGACAGTGAAAAGAAAGTAAGTTTTGACACTGAAAAGCCAGATGTGGTGGTGCACACCTGTAATCTCAGAACTCCAGAGTCTGTGACAGGAGGATCACTGAGTTGAGAAGACTAAGATTAGAGCGTGAACACAGCCTGCGCTTTGTAGTGAGTTTAAAGTCAGCCTGAAATACACAGTGACACCCTTTCTCAAAACACCAAAAAAATTTTAATTAAAAAAACAAAGTATTTGGTGGCCTGCCTTGCAAGCGCAAAGACCCGAGTTCAATCCCTGCTACCAAAAAATAAATAATAATAATAATAATAATAATAATAATAAAACAAAGTATCTTCTTAAGGAAATAGAATTAGGTTTAAGAGGGGATAGATTCAGTGTCTCATACAGTGACGCAGGCAAGCTGTGATGCCCCATTCCTGATCTGGTATGTAAACAAATGGAGGTGGAGCTAAGGATTGAGTCCAGGGCCTCACACATGCTAAACAGACTCTACCACTGAGCTACACCGCAGGGGAGGGGAAGGTTTGTTTTTATAATAGAGGAATATTTGGGGCTGGGAGTGTGTAGCTCAGTGGTAGAGCACTGTATAGCATATGTGAAAGTCCCAGGGTTCAGGCCCAGCACTGCTGAAAAAAGTTTAAGTACACAAAAACACGCTCTAAATGAGAAATTCTAAGAAACTAAAACAGTTCATTTGTGTTTGCAAATTTGCAAAAGATTACATATAACAAAACCATAAAAATAATCTTAACTTGGTTGCCATTAACTTTGTATCTTTTATGTATTATTTAAAGCTAAGACAGACATGATTTCTACTTCTCAACTGTAGAAAAGATAGAAATAAAGCATCAGTGAATGGCTTTACTACTTAAAATATAAAGGGCCAATAAAATAAAATGACCAGTTCAAAAGTCTTTTTCAATTCTATCATGAATAAAGAAAGCAGTGTCCCTGTGTGTAGAACACTGCCTGGCCAGAGACAGCAGGTGCTCAGTAAGTACTTGAGGAGCTTTAAATTGCTAAAGAGCAATGTGGAGGAAAATGTTTTAGACGACACCTAAATACTGGTTAAAAGAGAACCACAAAAGTCAAATAGTCCTCGATTACACTTTTAAATATGGGTAGACTAACAAGGAAGAAACAAAACTTTTTAAATTTAACAATAAAATTTTCCCAAATTCTCTAAAAAGGTATCTAAAATAAAGTCCTTTAGACTTTCAGAAATAATCCTTATTATTTACATGTTAATAAGTGTATCTTTCTTTGGTTTGAATTTTAATGATTTCTATGCTATCTCATTGAGAAAACTTACCTTTTGTATCACTTCTCCTAAAAAAATCTTGCTATTATAGTAAAACAAATAGATCTTAAATGATAGATTTGGTGTTGTCACAAGTAGATACACCTCTGTAGCCTCCAATTTGTAAATAATTCCATTACCCAGAAAGTAGCTCAGCCCGGGCAATTTAGTGAGACCCTGTCACAAACTTAAAATTTAAAAAGGGTGGGGGAGAAAGCTCAGTGGAAAGACCCTGGGTTCAATCTAGTGCTATTTTTTAAAAAAGAAAATAGTTTACATTACATTTTTAAGTCAAAGTATTACAATGTAATATACTTCTGATATAGAATTACACTAATTTATCTTAAAAGCCTTCCTCTACAAAATTTAAAACAAAAAATTGGCTGTTTCTGATAGATAAGAACAGTCCATTTAAATCACGTAAGGTAATTAAGGCCCTCCATGTGTAAGAATGCAGAGTCATCATGAGAGAGCAAGCTGCTTTGAAAAACTGCTGGCTCTAAACAGGGAAGGAAATATAGGCAATAATGGAAGCTTTTTTCATTTTTATTTTTATTGATGTCTACATTAAATGATTACATTCACTGTAGGGAGTGAACTATAAATTCCTTGGCTCTAGTTTTCATAAAAGAAATGGAGAATGTTTTTTACTCTCTTAGACACTTAAATGCTGAAAAGTAGTTTTTCCTGGTTTTTATTTCAACAAGTCTACAATAAATTCCACAAGTAGCTCATTCAAGAAATCCAAATGTCATGAGCTATGACAATCTAGTTTGAAGGGGAGATTCAGAGTAGAAACAGCCACTGAAGTTTTCATCTGTATTACTTCAAAACACACCCTGCAACTGTTACTAATTCAAATCAGACCCTAGTTGTTACAAGTGTTTCTGGAATACATAATGAGAACTAAATTGTGGGCACTGTGATGAACTTACTGACTTTAAGAGGGACAAACTTTTGGTTGAGTTTTCTTAATACCTTTTTTCTTTTTTTTTTTGAGATAAGGACTCTATGCAGTTCAAGCTGGTCTTGAACTTACTATGTAGCCTAAACTGGCCTCCAATTCACTGCGTTCTTCTGGATCTTTAAGAAAATATGCTTCCTAGCCACGAAAGCTAGTATCACACTTTGTTTCAATTTCACTTCATTTACAGAAAACGGAAATTGCTATAAATGCAGCCTTGATTAGAACAAGCAATTCAAGTTGCACTGGACTGTTAAAATTTAATTTATTCAAATTATTAAAGTAAATTGCAAAAAGCAGTGTTACAAAATGGTACTGCCCTTTTATCTTGGTATTACCAATGTAGTGAATACTGGGCATTCATGAGTTTAATTCAAAAGGAGGAAAATGATATGTGGCTATTTACCACTGAACTATTACTATACGGTAAGTTCCTGACTAGGAGGAACATCTGAGCTGCGAACTTTCACAGACTGGTCTTGATCTCACTACGTAGCCCATTACAAAGGTCCTCCCATTACAAACACTCATAGATGCAACCAAATCATAGTAGCTAAAGAGACTGCCGGGTGTTGTCACAGATGTGCTGCTGTACAGTGCGACAGGATGCAGTAGTACAGTACAGTCGGGGACTTATTGTATGGGTGAGTTTGGCTTTTTTATGATTTACATAGTATATTTGTGTCCAAGGTGTAGAAGACTCACTTTGGCGGACTTAACGAACAAGTCTGACTTATGAACGTTTCCCAGAACCGAACCTGTTCGGAGATCGGGAACGCACTAAATTACGAACTTTAAGGAAAAAACAAAAGCAGAAACCTTCGCTCACTATTCGGCACGAACTGTTTCTAGTCTAGGCGGGACGCGTCTGGCACTCCTTCCCCGGTCGGCCACGGACTCCAGATCGGAAGCTGCGGGTCCCGGACGCAGCGGCCGGCGCGAACCTCCGAGGCCCCTCACACTCCCTACCCAGCCCGCCAAGGGTGCACCGCATCTGGGGACGGCACCGCCGGCCCTTGGGTAACGAAAAACCTTAACTCAAAAGCATGTCACACCACTCCCCGGGCACAGCCTCCCTCCCGGGGATGGCAGCGTCGGTGACCTCGCGTGTCCCCGGGGGTGGGGCTGTCTTCTAACTCCGTCACAGCCGAGCGCATCCGCACCTCCTGCCCACGCCCTAATCCTTGCCACTCCACACTCGGGGACCGAGCCTGCCTGAACCGGCTCTAAAACACGCACGCCTAGTGGACAGAGGAAAGGATCGGCCCTTTCTCAGGCGGCTCCCTCTGCGTTATATCCCGGCCTTCCGCCACGAAAGAACGCCGCATACGGCCACGC